AGCCTCTTGTGGCTGTGATGTTTTTTCTTTCCTGTGATGTTTTTATGGACTGTGACATTCAGATCTTAGGGGCACAGCCCAGTGAACCTCCATCATGCGAGCCCACCCGTGTCACCAGGATCCAGGTGAAGAAACACACAGCCAGTGCCCCAGAAGCCTCCTCCTCCCTTCTCCAAGCACTTCCCTCCCAGGGTGACCACTGTCTTGAGCTTTGTCTTACTTTTTATTCCAACTTCCTTAATGTAATATGCTAACCTGACTGTCAAAAATTGCCATCTAACGAACATATTTGATACGGGTTTAAATTCAGAGACAGGACTCTATTGTATCTCAAGGGACCAGGGCCAGATTTCTTGATGAAATTGTTCTTGGACCCACTAGTTCTTCAACTGGAGTTTCCTTCTATCTCCCCAAACCTTTTGAAACCATGTTTCTAAAAAAAAAAAAAAAAGTTTCCTTAATTGTTTGCCATCTTTAACCTACATTTTCCAGAAACGCTGGGCATTTTTGAACTGGTTTCCTTCTGTCTGAATTTCCTTTATTGTGGCAGCCCATGTACACAGGAAAGTCCCTTAGCTCTCTGAGGGTGGTCTTGTAGCCATGACTGACCCACGAAGTCAGCTATAGACATAACTGGGCCTGAAATAATAGGGGACTAAGAGGCGATGGAACAGCATTGGGAAAGGCTCTGAAGTGGGAGAGAGCTGGGCGTGTTGGAATCAGTGGGACCGTGACAGAGGAATGTCATCACATGGGGGCTGGCGTAGATGGTCACTGGCCAAAGACACAGCATGCATGGCCCCTGAGGTTGGACAGTGCATGGCCTGTGAAGCCTGGGAAGGACAAAAACCAGCTGTTGTCAAGTTGACTCGAACTCATGGTGACCCCATGTGTGTCAGGGTAGAACTGTGCTCCACAGGGTTTTTGGTGGCTGATTTTTTGGAGTAGGTAGCCAGGCCTTTCTTCCAAGGTGCCTCTGGGTGGACTCGAATGTCCAACATTTCAGTTAGCAGCTGAGGTGTTAACTGTTTGCGCCACCTGGGGACTTCAGCCTGGTAAGGAGTGTGGATTTAATCCAAAGTACAATGGCGACCCATTGAAGAGTTGGTCCCAGACCAGCCAGCCTAAGGCCATCAGGGCCAAACTCACAGTCTGACCAAGTCAGGTCCATTTTCCCACTGCAGTGGGGGATGCTGCACAGCAGGGAAAGTGCAGGGTGCCTCACAAACAAGGAAAAGGCAGCGTTATTTTGAGTTGGGGGAGGGGTGGAGTGTGGGAGTTTGAAGCAGTGTTTCCATTGGCTCAGAGCAACGCAGCACTGTGGATATAAAGTGTGGACAGCAGGTCTGGAATACAAGGGGACCCAGACTGTTGTTTCCTCAGGAATGACAAACTTAGGAGAGATGAGGACTCTTGTGTCCAAATACCCCCTTATCTGAAGCCCCACACCAGGGCTGAGAATCAAGGCAGCTTCTCAGACTCAGTGCCTCCAGGCAAGCGCGCAGGTTCCATTCTTCTTGGTATAATTCCATCAGCAATGTTCTGAGGGTTTAGGATTTTAGAGAAGGAGCCCTGGTGGTGCAATGGTTAAAGCACTTGGCTGCGGTTCGAACCCACCAGTGGCTCCTGGAGAGAAAACACCTGGACATCTGCTCCCGTAAAGATTACAGCCGAGGAAACGCTATGGGGCAGTTATACTGTGTCCTGTAGGCTCACTAGGAGTGGGAATCAGCTCAACGTTACCCAACAGAATTTTAGAGAACCGAGTTTCTCTGTAAGAAAGAAGTCGTCACTCAAAGAACGGGGTTGCTTTGACCCTTTGCAGCTGCAGGGAGTCCTTGGGAGAAATCTTCTTCCTGTTCACATTGCAGCTGGCTTCAGCTGTGTCATTATTCCAGCCCAGGGAGTGGCCTGGGGATTTTTACAGTCCGTGTTCACTTTTACTATCTCAAGCGGCACATTCAGTCACCAGCCAAACACACAAACACTAGCACTTCCTGCATGCTGTCGTGGGGCTG